TTTTGGCGATCGTCGCGAGTGAAGCCTACGCCCTCGCCGACGTATACCACAAGTGTCTCTAGTTACAACCCGCATAATCGATATTCCGTGTTGCCAATCCAGAGATACGTGGGACCAGACGTAGAAACCAACCCCGAACAACAAACCCCGCAACCCACCGTTTCCACCCGCAGAAAAAACCCGCATAAAACCATACGAGACACCCCGAGGCCCGCTTGGAAGAGTTGGCCGCGGCCAGCACCGAGAGGCTTGTCGCGCAAATTCGAGATCAGCCCGAGAAGGCTCGTTCGAAACTACAACAGTGGATACACCCGGCCCGACGAGCCGAGAACGGGCCCGAACTGGAAGAGTTCATACGAACGGGGTACGCCCCCGACGTAGCCGAAGCTTTGCGACAACTACAAGATGCTCCCCCCTTTCGGAAAAGTGAAGGCACCACGGCTACGCGGGTAGCCGTCACCCTTCAAGGGGTCAACGACCTCCGCGGGTACTCGGTTGACGCCCTCCTCGATAGTGGAGCCACCTCCGAGTTCATGCACAAGCGGTTCGCGGAGGACTCGCAACTGGAACTCGAAGCCCTACCGCACCCAGTCCCAGTGTACAACGCCGCCGGGACGATCAACGCCGACGGGGCAATCACCCACGTTACCCGCTTACGAGTCACCATTCAGGATCACTCCGAACTTCTGACGTTCGCCATCACGGACACCGGGAACAGTGACGTGATCATCGGGCATCACTGGCTCAAGAAGCACAATCCCGTGATCGACTGGTGTGAAGGGGCAATCGCCTTCACCCGATGCCCGCCCGAGTGCAAGCGGGCCCGATTGCTGGAACAATGGGACGAAGAGGACAACGAACCCCTGGGCAAAGGGGATCGCCTCTTCGTCACGCGGATATACGACGAAGGTTCGAACGCGCCCGCCCACATCCAGGCCATGCAGAGCGTGGCCATCAAACTGGCCGCCGCCGCCTACGCTGCCGAGAAGCCCCGAACCACCGAGGAGAGCGTACCCGCGCACTATCTCGAGGAATTCAAGGAGGTCTTCGAAAAACAAGACTTCGACAAACTCCCGGAACGGAGGAAATGGGACCATGCCATTGAACTACACCCAGACGCCGAACCCGTCAACGGACGCTGCATTCCCCTATCAGGAGAAGAACAGAAAGAGCTTGACGCATTCATCAAGGAACACTTGGCAACCGGGCGGATTCGGCCCTCGAAATCCCCATACGCATCCCCGTTCTTCTTCGTCAAGAAGAAGGACGGGAAATTACGGCCCGTACAGGACTACCGGAAGCTGAACGAGATCACTATCAAAAACCGATACCCGATACCACTCATATCGGACATCATGCATAAGTTACGTAACGCCCGGTGGTTCACCAAGCTCGACGTACGTTGGGGATACAACAACATCCGCATAAAAGAAGGCGACGAGAAGAAAGCCGCGTTCATTACCAATCGGGGCCTATTCGAACCACTCGTGATGTTTTTCGGCCTCACCAACTCCCCGGCCACGTTCCAATCCATGATGAACGAATTGTTTTCCAACCTGATTTCCCAGGGTCGCGTGATCGTGTACCTGGACGACATCCTCATATACTCTAGCGACCTCTCCGAACATCGCGCAACGGTGAAAGAGGTCCTACAGATCCTGAAGGACAACCAATTGTACCTGAAACCGGACAAGTGCGACTTCGAGCGGAACAAAGTTGAATACCTCGGTGTGATCGTCGGGAATGGGCAACTTCGCATGGACCCGATCAAGGTCGCTGGCGTGCGCGAATGGCCCCGACCTCGTAACCTGCGAGAGGTTCAAAGCTTCCTGGGGTTCCTCAACTTCTACCGACGATTCATCAAGGACTTCGGCGCGTACGCCAAGCCACTGACTCGACTGACCCGAAAGGACAGCCCATGGAAATGGGGACCGGAAGAGGAGGAGGCCTTTCAGACCTTGATAGACCGGGTCACTGACGAACCCGTTCTACACTTCCCTACGGATCACGGGGCATGGCGGGTCGAAGCGGACTCTTCCGACTTCGCCACCGGGGCCGTTCTCTCGCAAGAGCAAGAGGGGAAGTGGGTACCGATCGCATTCCTCTCCCGGGCCATGAACGACACCGAGCGCAACTACGACATTCACGACAAAGAAATGCTCGCTATCATGCGGGCCCTCACCGAGTGGCGACATTATCTCCAGAACGGGGGAGATAAGCCGTTCGAAATCTGGACCGACCACAAGAACCTGGAGTACTTCATGACTGCTAAAAAACTGAACCGGCGGCAGGCACGATGGTCACTCGAACTGAGCGAGTATCACTTCTCCTTGCTGCATAAGCCGGGGAAAACGAACGGGCGGGCCGACGCGTTATCCCGACGAAATGGGTACGACAACGGGAAAGAGGATAACCAGGATATCGTCCTACTACCGGCGGGGCTATGCAAGGAACACGTGATCCGCGCTATGCTCACACTGGAGCATACGGAGGGCGACGGGCTGATGGACTCGATCCGACGGGCCGAATCGGCCACGGAGGAGAAGGTCCTCAAACTCTGGGAAGAAGGAGAACCGGAAGGCTGGGAACAGCATGACGGCTTCAAGACTCGGAACGGACTTGTATACGTACCCCCAGCTATGGGACTGAGGCATCGGGTGCTACGCCAACACCATGACATCCCTATCATGGGACACCCAGGGTGGCATCGAACCCTCGAACTGACGACCCGCAACTACTGGTGGCCGTCTATTCAGACCGATTGCCAGGCGTACGTACGGGCCTGCCCGTTGTGCCAACGAACGAAGATATTCCCGAGACGCCCCGCAGGGACCTTGGTCCCGAATAGCGTGCCGACTCGGGTATGGCAGCGCATATCAATCGATCTGATCGTGCAACTACCCGAGTCTTCCGGATACAACGCAATCCTCGTGATCGTCGACAGACTGGGTAAAGGGATACGTGTACTCCCGTGCACGGGAAACATCTCCGGGGAAGGAGTCGCTCGGCTATATCACGATCACGTCTGGAAGGATTACGGATTTCCAGAGGAAGTAACTAGCGACCGGGGCCAGCAATTCATCGGGCATTTCATGAGCGACTTGAGCAAATTGCTGGGAATCAAGGTTCGATCCTCATCGGCGTACCACCCGCAGACGGACGGGCAAACGGAGCGTGCGAATATGGAGGTTGAGCAATACCTTCGAACATTCTGCAACTTCCAGCAGAGTGACTGGTCTGACTGGCTTTCCCTAGCGGAATTTGCGTTCAACGATAAAGTTAACTCCTCAACGGGATTCTCGCCCTTCTTCCTCACGTTGGGATTTCACCCGAGGAAGGGGTCCGAAGCCCCGCAAGAGGTCCCGACCGAAGCCGCTACAGTTTTTGCCGAACGGATGAAGGAAGCTCGGGCCGACGCGGCCGAAGCCATGAAAGAAGCCCAGGAAACGATGAAGAAGTACTACGATCGGAAGCGCTCTCCGGACCCGAATTACGCCGAAGGGGACAAAGTTTACCTCCAGGGGACGAATTTGACCAGCGATCGGCCCTCAAAAAAACTGGACGACAAAAGATTCGGGCCGTTCGAAGTCAAGCGCAAAGTTGGTAAAACATCCTACGAGCTGGTCCTACCCCCAACTTGGCGCGTGAGCCCCGTATTCCACACGGCGCTATTGCGACCCTGGAACGCCCCAGTAGCGGATCACCAACGGGCCGCTCCGCCACCCCCGGCAGAGATGCGGGACGGCGAGCCTCACTACGAAGTCGAGGCCATTTCCCTCGTACGCAAGCAAGGTCGACATCGCCTGAGGTACCTAATTCAGTGGAAAGGTTACCCTCGAGAAGAGTGGACGTGGGAACTGCGGGACAAACTGGAAGGCGCAGAAGAGGCACTCGAGGATTTCTATATTCTCAACCCGTTCGCACCCCGCAAAGAACTCGTAAATGGCCGATGGAAGATCCGAAAGCAAGACCAGGGGACACGGACCCATAGGGCGTCGAGGCGCCGCCCACAACGGAGGGGGTGATGTCACGGTTCGGGTCGGGCCGTCCGGGCCCGAACGGGCCCGCATACCGCCGCCCTCTTCGACAATCCCCCATTCTTCCAACCCCTTCCCTTCACCCCTGCGGCCCTACGCAGCGCCCATCCGATCCGCCCTGGGACCTGGCGCCCATCCGATCCATCCCTAATATCGTAGCGTATAAAAACCGTACTTACAAGATGTAGTCGCTAGGCTAATATCGTCTATTCTCCGGGCGAATACCCATCCCTCGTGCTCCCCAGACCCCTTTGAAGTCGGGCCCCCCGACGCCCCGATACGGCCCGAGCCCGACGTTGACACAAAAGCTCAATGTCATAGTATAGCCATAATATAGTAGAGTTATGATATAATATTCAAAAATAATCATATTCAAGTGACCAGCCAGAGACATAATATATATATAATATTCTGAATATATTCAATATTTAATCAACCAAGTTATTCCTGAGTGCCCATGCCAGCCTGAGTGATACTTATGCTGCATGGGATTGAGTCCTATTGTCTGGCACTGCCAGTGGGTCCTATTCAATGGGATTGAATGCTACTTATCATGATACTCCTACTCCAACTTATTTTGTATATGCTGAAGAAAACTTCGAAAAGTTATTACAGGGAAAATTCTAAACTTTCTTTTCCTATTGAAAGATAAATTTAATATAAACATTTTAATACTTCTTTCCATGGAGAGGAAATTTGCAAGCCATACGGAAAGATCAGCTTTCTTATTAACTTTTCTATCTCTTCCAAATACATTCTTTTTGTTCTTACAGACAGTTTGATAAAGAATAGTCATTTATGAAACAATTAATACATCATGTTTCTTCTCTCTAGAAACATGTATCTAAATATGTATATTCAATACACATCTAAAAGGGGAAAGAAAATTAAAAATTTCCTGTGTGTATGATAAAAAAACAAAGGATAAGTTTTATGCATGACAAAATAACGACAAAATTTAAATCAATACTTGACAACAACCTGGCCATTTCGGAGCATAATGACCTGACGCTGGCGCACCTCGCGCACCCAATTCCTACGCCCAGACATGGCACTCCCGCTCGCACTACGTACACCATGCTCTGCAGCGAGCCCCATCCGGAATGCGTCCACGACCTGCAGCGCATCCACGTCCCGCACCCTTGCCCGCCGCGTCCACACGCCTACAAGGACAGTCCACATGGCGAGGGCACCGCACCCGAGGTTAAGCGCCACTGCGCCAAGACACACCGCACTCAGGTTGCGGAAGCGCCAGCGGACCGTTGTGGCCCGGCTGTTTGCGCGGCACGTGGCGACCCCGGTTGGGGGCGACCCCCGGCGTGCTTGTGCCTGGACGTAGTTGATGTAGCCCGTCAGGCCGACTTTTGCGCCGTCGCCGAGAAGCGTGGCGAGCATTTGGGGGACATTAGGCGCGGGCGCGAGGAGAGTCGGGCCGACGCCAAGGCTGCGGGGGAAGAGTGTTGTGCCGAGTGCCGCCGCTTGCGCCATCCCCTCGATGGTGGCAGCTACTGCGAGACCGATGGCCGATGGGTAAATTGTTCCGTCGGGGAGATCTACGTCATACGCCGCGGCAGTGCCGTTAGTGATCCGGAGCTTGATCAGGCCCGGATTCGATGTCCAGGTGCAGCCTGTGATGTTTCCTGTGCCGTTGACCGTCATCAGCGCTCCACTGCCCGTTGCTCGTACGACGCCGAATAGCGCCACATTCGCATCCGGAAGCCCGAACGGTATGTTGAGCGGGACGCTGCTGACAATTTGCTGCGTAACGTTGCTCGTTAATGAGGTGTTCAGCGTCTGTCTCGTAAACCGTGGCAGCTCAAGTCCCGCATTCTCCCATAGGCTGCTCGCAACTGCCTCTGCGCCGCACCTTGTCGTAAACCACACGCCTGGCACCTCCTGCAGACCGTTCACCAGCCCACCTAGCGTGCCATACCCATCATTATCCTTAACAAAGACGTGCCCCACCCCGACCGTCGTGGTGTTCGCCGCAACTTGGTCTGTTTCGTGCTCAGCCGAAGAAGGCCGGACTGCCAGTTGCCTTGGCACGCACCGTAGAACCCATCGAGCTGCATCCCGGCCGCGGCCGATGCGGCATACAGCTTATTCTGCACATCTGCGGGTATCCCGGAGAGGTTGAACGATAGCTGGGAGCGCTGCACACCACATGGTATAACATCGTCAATTGCGGCAAGCGGCTTTGCCACAGTGAAAGGTTCTGCTTCCCATAAGGAAGACTTCTTTGGTATCTTGCCCCACGTACCTGGCTGTAAGATCGCCACCAACAGCGTCGAATGCTGCGCGATGCTCCAAAACACAGGGACCTGCAATCCGGCGAGGACAGCGGCCCGGATCCCGGCACCGCCGGTGATTACCGGGACGTCGACCTCGCGGCGGGCAAAGGTCTGCATGCCGGCCCAGGAATTGAGCGTGAACCCGCGCTGGAGCATTGCGGCGGTCTGGTGTGTGCCGGCGCTGCTGAGGGTGTACTTGAGATGTGCGGTCACGAGTGCGGCGGCAGCGGTGATGGCAATGTTGGTGAGCTCGCCGTGCGCGTGCCAGAGGTCTGCCAAGTGGGTGGAGAGCGGGATGATGCCGGACATGAGCACTGCAAAGAGTGCCGCCAATGAGCAGCGAAACGACGCCATTTGCGAGGAGGAAGACGGAAGCCCAGTCCCAGCCGGCCACCAGTCGATATTCCAGGGGCTGGATGAGTGCACTTGACGAGGACTTGGACGCGCGGTGACGGACGAGGGGAATGGTGTCCATGAGAGTAGCGGGGCGGCTAGGCTACATATCACCCAGTCGCGTGGGAGCCGTCTCACGCTGCGGGGTGATATCTGTCGATAAGCGCCTATTGACGCCCATAATGGCATCTGGGAAACTCAATTCATGATTAGCGCTGGAAGCATGATATAACTCCGCTCAATTGTCCTCCTCCGTATCGACGCTCACATGACCGTCCCTCAGCACGATTACTTGCCGCCCCTCTGACTCCGGGTCGACGCCGAGCCCGACGCCCTGAGCGTTACCCGTGCGGCCCATATGGAACGCATCAAGCACGTCCAGCCCGTTCAATTCGGCAACCCGCATCCGGCGCCACCACAGCGTCGTCCCCGCAACCCACAGCGCAGCCGCGCCAAAGATCACGTTCATGGCCACGGCCACTGTCCCGAGGTAGTGCACATTTGTAAACCTCAGGCGCGCAATGACGGCCCGAGCATTAGCCGTGCACGTGCCGGCTTCGGCCCGGCTGTCCGCGGCGACGTAGTTTGCGTGCAACGTTAGTCCTGCTTTGGCCCCATCGCCGAGCAGAGTGGCGAGCATTACTCCCGTATCTGGGGTCTTGTCCTCAGCCGAGACGTATTGAATGCTGGAGACTGGCGGTGCACTGAGTGTGGCGCCGAGGCTCACTGCCTGTGCCATACCGGCCACAGTCCCCGCCACGACAAGCCCTATTGCTGGTGGGTATTCCATAGTATTCTGCCCTTCGGCGCCGCCTGTCTCATTCACAAGGGACCGGGCAACAGAATGGCTGATCTGAATGTGTACCAAGCGAGGAATCGTGGTCCAGACACACCCGGAGATGACGCCGTTGCTTTCCACCACAACCACGGCCCCATCACCCGTGACGCCGACGATGGCAAACAATCCGCCAGCCGCCACACGCAGGGGCGGTATGACTCCGATCGGCGTGCTGTGCACGATCGTAGTTGTGGCGTTCCCGGAAAACGTAGACACGAACGTCACGTTCGATGAGGTGCGGGTCATATTCGGAAAGAGGTAGCCCCCGCCGGCCCAGAGCGCCTGCACGGTTGGCGCCGACGTGGTACTCCCGCACTGCGCAATGAACTCGACGCCGGGGACAACTTGTATGGCGTTTCGCTGTGCACCAATGGCACTATAGCCAAATACATCCTTCACGAAAATGTGGCCGGCACCAACGCTGGTGGTATTCGCGGCGACCCGCTCTGCAAGCAATGAGCGGAGTAACAGCTCGCCAATGGTAACGCACCGTAAAAGCTTCCCAACTGCGCGCCACTGGCCATAGAGGCGTTCCTAATCGCGGATTGTGTCTCGGCGGGCAGCGGGGCAAGGTCGAATGAGAGGCCGTCGCGTGGCACAGCGCACGGCACTACCTCGTTGGTAGCAGTGGTAGTGATGATAGTTGCTAGCCCCAATCGTAAGCAATCACGGAAATGAAATAGAGCCATATGGCGCACCTGGCTGCATGACCGCCACAAGCGACGCCGTATGTTCCGCCATCCCCGCCAGCACCAGCCCCCACAGCGCCATCCCCGCCCAGCCGGCAACCGGTGGCTTCATCCCGAGCTCCCACACACTCTGCACACGCGCCCACTCGCTCAATGTAAACCCGCGGTGAAGCAATATGGCCATGTAGAGCGCCACCGTCGTTCGCAGCGTCGCTCGCAGCTGCGCTGTCGAAAGCGTTGCGATGAACGCCACGAGGACATTTGTTACGCCGTCGTGTACCTGCCCGAGGCGCGACAGCCCCGCGGCGATGGGCACAACACCTGAGGAGAGCACCGCGAGGGAGACGCCCCACAGCAGGCACACGAGGCCGTTGATGAGCACAACGGCCAGCGGCCCGTCCAGCCCGTACACCAGGTGGTAGTGCAATGGCCCGGGAATTGAGGGCGCTCGACTGGCGGGGGACGGGAAGCGGATTGTGGGCATCGACGACAGGACAAGCACCAAGCGGCTTTTGTTCGGGGCGATGATCGCGCTGTCGAGACAGCCTGTGAAGTGGTATCACTGGTATGCCACAGTGCGGGATTGGATCTATGGCTGAGACACGCACCACTATTGAGTCAAGCCTCACTTAGACGCCCAGGAGCATCAGCGCCTAGCTCAGCCTGTGGGAACTGTCACCGGCCAGCCGCAGTGGTGGTTGGGAAGAAGGATTAAGTAGTTACGCGACGTGACACGTCATCAAGAAATCACGGGCACCGGACCAATAAAGATCATGATCAAATTCACAGTTATAGGGTTCAGTTCACTACTGTGCTTCCCAGTGATTGGGTAATTTCCCAATGACTGGGTAATCATCATTTCCCTCCATCCCATCTCAGTATTTGCCCTCGGTATCATCCGGAATCTATTCCGAACACCCTTATCTATAGTCTTACAAAAGATGGGAATATTTGGCGAAGAGATAGCCACAAATCTTCACTACCGAGCCATCAACTTGGGTAATATTGAATCTAATCAGTGGTTTCCGTCCCTCCAGAGCCTCGGTAAACCCCGAAAAAGGCTGCACTATATTAGGGAGTACTGAAATAATATCCTTGCACCCTCAGCTTTTGTTGCCGGTCTGTAGTGAAGGAGCATTTAGCAAATCGAGCAATATGTCACAATCTGTCACGTTTGGCCGTTGATGGCCTTAACGGGATGCTGATCTGAATTCGGCATTGAGCAATGGTTGCATTTACGAAGTAAAAGTAGCTTTATCTACATTAGAATGTGTCATAGTTATTAGGAAAGTAATTTGTACTATAATACTGTGCGTAAGTAGGGGTATCAAAGGATGCGCCGCTATTTGCTGCATCAAACTGGAGGCTATACCAGATTAGGCACGCACGCCTAATCGGGAAATACTGCACATGTGGCCGAAATACTGCACTTTCAGCAAAAATGGGCACTCTCGAAACAAAATCCGGCACTCCCAAATCTAGCAATTGCGCATCACGTGTAATCCCGCGCGTTGTTGACGTGACGGTCGGCACGGGAGCGTGATGACGCTCCTCTTCCGCCAACCACCACCACAAGCAGCGCATCCTACCTCGACCTTGCCCTCCTCCCTCTGAATTCCCTTCCCCGCACTCTCCACACCACTTCGAGCACCGGGACCTCTCAGTTCCCGCCATTTGTGACCGCATCGCCGCTACGCCTGCGGTCTGGGAGCGAAAGCATTTGGGTGGGGAGATTGTCGAAACGAGGGGCTGGTGATCAGGTGCGTCCTCAGTGGCCCTCTTCACTGATATTGTCTGAATCATCTCGCAGAACCAGTTTGAACCATCTGCACATACCTGTCGCGGCGCTGCTCCCTCAAAACCACCAGCCCCCATCCCTGCTTGTACCAGCCACTCATCTCTTTAGTCGGCCCCTATAACTCACAGCACCCTAGGCCCCTCCGACTGTAAACTCGACTCAACTTCGGCCACATCGGCAGCGGGGGATGAAGGCAATACGTGTTCGCGCGAGAGGCAACACATACCTGGAGGATTCGTTGAATGAATCGGCATCCATGCGGACGAGCGTTGCAGCTCCCCGCGGCCAATGCTGATGGTGAGAGGGGAATATTGCCCAGGCAGGCCCGCCGCCGAGGAGAGCAGAAGCGCCAGGCACAATGACGCAAGCCGTCTGGCGGCAACGAGGGACAGTCGGGGCGGGAAAGGCGGAAAGGAGGATGGAGTTGGTTGCGGCAACAACTGGCGCCCAATCGGCCAACACAACGCAGCGCGGCGCAGACGTTGAGCCGATGGTGTCGTGTCCGCCAAAGCGACAGCACCTGCCCGCGGGTCGAAGCGCAGGCAGTGTCCACCGTGCGCGTTTCGTGCATTGCGGCGTTGCGCGTTGTTTCTCCTGGGGTAACGGGAAACTCAGCGATTGTATAGTAGATAGTTGAATATACTCAGTCGGTGTGGCGCCGAGACTTGAATGCCTGGATTTCTGAGGACTTGCGTCTTGTGAGAGTGCAGTATTTTACAAAGAGTGCAGTATTTGCGGGAAAGTGCAGTATTCTAGAGGGAGTGCAGCATTTCCGCATTAGGAGTGCGGGCCTAATCTGGTCGGTCCCGATCAAACTGGGATGGGTAGCCAAGATTGTAGTTGTTGCGAGATGGTAATGGGTTCTGAGGCATAAACTCGGGTATATGTTGATATTGTTGGTAAGCCTGTGGCTGGTCACACTGACCGACATCCACAAACTATAGCAGGTATGAATAATATGTCAAGAACTTGAATGGAAAGACTCACCTGATTCTCGGAGGTGGCAGCAACTTGTGAGGGACCAGCAACGGCATTGGTACTTGGCGCGAGAACGGTGGCTGCGCGCCTCCCACGACCGCCAAACAGACCTGAGTACCGCGCATTTTCTTTGTCTGCTATCCCAGCTTCTGTCGCAAAATGAGCATTGATTGAATCCAAGAGCACCTGTTTGGTTGCTTTGGCATTAACTCTGAGCTTTAGAGCATTCACCAAATCCCACAAATCATCCTTGTTCTTTGAGCCAAGTGAGCCGGTGAATGCTGCATCAGGATTCTGGGCGCGGCGATCTTCCTGCTCCTTCTGCTTCTCAGCGCGAACACGTGCAGACTCAGCTTTTTTCTGTCGCTTGGCTTCTCGTGAATCTTCTTCTGCTTGCGCCAATGCTCGACCTAGGGTGCAGTTTTTTGATCCGGTTTACAAACCGGTTTATAAACCAGTGTTTATAAATACCGGTTTAGAAAGATTTCACTGGGTCTCTGGTTTATAAACCAGGCTAGTCACGTGACTTAAGTGATCCAACTACTGCTAGCTGATCAACATTATTAATTATAAGTCCTGTACATTATATAGAGTAAATTATCACCTGTACCACAGGTTACTGAGAGAAAAGAGGTATGAAGGCAACCCTTTCAGCTAGAATGTAAGGCTGGAAAAATTTATATCCTGCCATCAAAAATATCACATGTTTAGTTGCCTGGTTTATAAACCAGTTTATAAACACCAGTTTGGGACACTGAAAATTATAAACCGTTTTTAAATACTCAAATATTTAAAAACTGCACCCTAGCTCGACCCTCTGCTGATGACGCCTCTCCTGCTCCTCCTCGCTCCCGTTCCCGGCCGCAGAGGGGACGATCGTACATCCCTTGCGGGCCAGGCGCTACTCCTAACCTCCTAGCACTCCTCCCCAGTTCCCTGGAGTCGAGTTGGGCTCGGCAACGGCTCAACGCGTCATTCTCGGTCATGTGCTTCCCATGTGTGCGTTCCTCCTACTGGGGCGCATGTTCCCCGTCATCACGTGCTGCGTGTTATGGGCCTGCGGTGGCCCGACACCAGCACCGGAGAGGATGGGCCGGGTCTTATCCGTGACATCCTGAGAGTCATTATGGATGACCAGTACATAGTTGGTACCCTAGCAGGCAGACCCTTAGAGTTTCTTCTCTTTGGATCCTCCCCTGCTAGGCTTTTGTCGGAGTCTCCAGGGTTGCCCTCACATACATGACCAATTCAACCCCAACACCAACTATGACAAGGGACTGTTTTTTACTTGTTCTAGGCACGTGTTTTCTGGGCTTGTTTATGTCAACACAAGTGGGACTCAGCGGTGGGTGGGACAGACATATTGAGTGGATTCAGTGGAAGTGGCCAGCTTTGGGCCAGCTATACTGGCGGAGGGATGCTGTTAATGAATTGATGCCAGTGTAAGTGGAGATATTTGGGGGTTGGTCCGAGTTAGCAGGGCCAGCCCTCTTGCAGAGCACTACACCAACTCTTTTCGTCACATCATGTCACAGTTTTTGATTTCGAGTAAATTCAGTACATATATAGCTCATGATTACTCTCTGGGAATTGGCCTGAGTAGCTCTGCAACGAGGGCTGGTTTAGGAGCCTGTAATATTGTATACACATCTTCTACTGTGGGATAACTTTTCCTGACGAGTTTCTACTAGGCACTAGCAATTTAATCCTTGGAGCAGTGCCCCTGATAGTATTTTGAGGTTCCCTAGGTCCCAAGGGAATTGAGTGACAAAAAAGAGGCCTGAAAGCAAGTTACACTCACTGATCTCCCTTAAACTCAGTCTGGCAAATGGTCCTGTGGCAACTAGGTCAAATTTATATAGAGATAAGTGACTAGATTATAGTTGAATATATTCATAACATGATCATATTTTGCATCTGAATATGATTATACAGGCTATACTACAAATATATTATTTATTGTGTTGAGGCTCTGAATATGATCTGATTATAATATATCATCTCTCAAACATAATAGGAGGAACAGAAAAAGAAGCCCCGCACAGGGACAGGCCGCGCAAGAGGATTCCACCTCCTGGTGGAATCTGCTCTAGCTGCATACCTGCTCCACCGACTGAGAGCATACGGGCACGGTGGGCACTAGACAAGCATGGGGATGTGCTGTGCTGGGAAACACGGGTGTGGGAGTTACCCACACACCGACAAGCCTGTGAGCTAGAGGCAGAGAGGGCTATCATAACGGCCAGGCCATCTGACCAATGCAAGGTAACTGTGGGTATATTATGATGTACACATAGTTGGCACTGGCAGAAAACAACATTCATACGCAACAAGCTCGAGCAGTAGGAACAAAAGAAAGCCCCGCGCAGAGACAGGCCGTGCAGAATGACCCCGCTGAAACAGTCCAGCTAGGTCGAAGTACTCACGCTACATAGCTGCTCCGCAGGCCGAGGCATGATGCCATGGCAATGTCGGTATCAGGCGCACATGGTGGTGTATTGTGCTGGGAGCCAGCACACTGTCCGAGTCGGGCCTAATAGGAAAATTATTATACATCCGCGGCCGTATGATACTTTTTGGTCCCAACCTCGTCACGTTCTTCCCCTGATCCGCCCCAACCCCTCCTGCCAGCGCTGGCACCTGCCCTCCCAACGACGACATTTTTTCTCTATAGCCTCATCGCTCAAACACGACCCTCCGCCTCTCCTCTCCCTGCTCTGCCCCACCCGGATCCGCCCCACTCCCCTCAACCCCCGCCCCCCGCTCGCCCAACAACCCCCTCGAGCGGCTCAGTATCTCATCTATCTCCAGTATCCTGCCCCGTAGGACCTGCAAAGTCGTGAGGCGTTGTGGCGCCGCCGCGTCCCCGATCGCACGCCCCGCGACCAGCTCGCGGGCCATCGCGTCGAGCTGGGGCAGCGGAGCGGGGCCGTCGGGGTTGGCGTTGGCGTTGACAGTTGGGTTGGTTGTGGAGCTGAAGGTGGGCTGCACAACGGCGGCCCGGACCGCGACGTCCGCCATGAGCCGGCGGACGGCGGCCCGGTCGCGCGGTTCCTGCGCCGGAGTCGGAGTCTGAGCCGGGGATGTGGTCCCTGTCGTGGTCGCGGTGGAGTCCGACTGGAGCGCCGCCACAAGGCTTTGTGTGTTCAATGTGGGCTGCGTATAGGTCGCCCAGTCGGAGCCCGCGCCGATCTGACTCCAGTCAACCGAGCGTGTCTGGCTTGGGGCATGATTGTCGTTGACCCGGCTCCGTTCTGCGTTTCTCAGGCGCTCCGTCTGCGCCACGCGCCCCTCCTGCAAATTCCGGGCCGTCGTTGCCGCCACCGCCGCCAGATCGGCCCGCGTCTCTGCGCTCTCCAGCAGCGCCGACGCCGCCGCGAGGAGCGGCTGTGTTTCCTCCTCGGCTCGAACGTCCACCTGGTTTTCTTGATCGGTTTGTTCTTCCTCTTCATCATCGGTATCTTCATTTTCCTCCACTTCATCTTCGTCATCCTGCCCACTTTCCCCCTCCGTTTGGGCCTGCCTTGCCTGCTGTGCAAGCCGCTCAATCTCCCCTTGCACCCTCCCCATGGCCGCCATCAACGCAGGAATCTCCGTTATCGGCGTGGGCACCGGCGCGTCCAATGCCCGACCAACTTCCGCCTCCACGCGCCGGATCATCGCGTCCTCGTTGTCGCTAGCAGCTTCCATGGCCTGCCGCACCAGCTCACGAATCTCGTCATCCGCTGCATCAGAGTCAGCAGAGTCGGGGCCCGCGTTTGGGCCTGCCTCGGCCTCTTCGGAGCTGTTGCTCACCTCGTCGAGGTCGGGCATGTCTGACTCGGAGTCCTCCCCCACCACATCTGACGGCTGCAGTGGGGACGGGGCGCTGATTCCGGGTGCGGGGACGGAGGCCGGGGAAAGTGGGGAGAGCGGGGACACAGAAGTGGAGGGTACTGGCGCTGGGGACACTGAGCCGCCGAGGAAGACACATGATATTTGCGGGCCACCATGCGTCGCACACAAGATTCGTTCAACGCCTAGTGGGTTGCCACTAAAACGCTTCAGCATAGTTCTTGAAGCAGAAAGAAGTTATGATAACGCACCAGACTGCACACCCCAGCCCGCGCGAGACACACCCACAGCCTCCACCGGTACGCGTCGCAGGAATGTGATACGCGTCACCGATCGTGACCACCGCACGGCCCAGCACCCCGCTCTCTGCCTTCCAGTTTGCCTCATCGGTCTCGTCCACATTTTCAGTCGCATTTTCACCCCTCCCCGTCCTCGGTGCATGCGGCACAACCATCGCCCCGCTATGCACCAGCGCCCCACACCCCCGTCGACCGCCTCGCCATCGATGGCGGCACTTCTTCTTCTTCAGGCAAAATCTGCACCCGCCACGCCCTCCGCTCGTCTCTTATCCCCACCCGCAGCGCCCCGCAAACCAGGGGCGTTCCTTCCTTAGTTTCTGCTCTTGTCGATAGCGCCGTCGGCAGTACAGCGGCCGAAGAGCCGCGCATCGTGAGCGTCTCTCTGTCAGGCATCGGCGCGTAGAATCGTCGCATCGACGAAGAAGAACGTGGTGGGCGGAAAAGAAGAAGCGGCGTGACGTGACGCGCACGTGCAGTGTGACAGTCACGGGTCGCCGAAAATCTGAATACGAGCTTAACGCTTAACCTTCGCTGTGGTGCAGCCCGGCTCCCGGTCTGCGTGCGGGCAAGGACTCCCAGCACCGGCCTAAGCTGCCTACGGGGCTGCTTTAATGACCACGTCAGAGGCATGTCACACCGTCACGCGTGTCATGTGAAGGTGACGTGGTTCTCCCACGCCACGTCACTTGGTTTTCGCCATGACGGACCTCCAGCCAAGACTCCCGCCCGAACTCGAGCGAGCAATATTTGCGATGGCTGCGGCTCTTCATCCATCGATGACTGTCCCGCTGCTCCTCGTTGCCCGCCGTGTGCTGATTTGGTAACTCTACGTTGCTTATTGACAGACACCGCTAAATGCTTCCTGTATTATAGGATTGAGCCCATGTTATATTCGTCTACGATACTGGAAGAGGAGTCTCATCTCGACGCCTTCTTGCGCATGGTAGCGCGCGATCCGGAAATGGCGCGCGGTGCTGTGCGACATGTCGTTGTTCCCTTCACTCGAGGAACAACGGCGGCCCAAGATACCATTCGAACGGCGCTCAGTGCTTGTACAAGACTCGACAGATTGGCCGTCGGTTCTTGTACGTGGTCCGCCGCGCTTCTCGCCGACCTTTCCGCCGCTGGAGTCCGCCTCACGCGCTTTGCTGGCCACGTCACCACTGGGGGTCCAACAGGCTTCTCGACCTTACAGCTCCTGTTTGGCGCACTGACTCATCTCGAAGTATTTGACGAGCTGCACGATGCGACTCCTCTCCTTACTGCTCTTCCCTGTCTCACGCACGTCGCTATCAGCATGCCCACAATGAATGACGGTGAGCGGGCAGTAAACGACCTAATGCGCTCTTTGCCGCGTCTAAAGGTCTTTTGCATCGTATGGAGCATCAACAGGCACACATCCACGTCCCACTTTGTATTCACAGACGCGCGGATCGTTATGTGCGTCTATGAAGAGTGGTTCGACGCAATCGTGGACGGGCCCAGCTATTGGGAACTCGCGGAAGTTCATATCGCCAAAAAGGCCCGGCGCGAGATTCCGGGTGAGGTTTTGTGATTTATAACACGTAATGGTCTTACTTACTCGTTTTCAGATAATGAGTGCTGGGCGAGCGTTGAATAGCAGATGGATACCTTGGGCTGTGCGGGTCAACTCGCAGGAACAAATTACAATATCAATATTGATCATCTTCCATCTAATTCCTGACTGCGACTTCGAAAGCTGCGGTCTGTGCCCCCAGCTCTGACTCCTTGATGGACTGTTGCACAGCGATTATTTGGCAGTTATAACACCGAGCCTCTAGTGCCACCCCTTATGTCGCCTACACCCGAACTACCATCCGAGCGTTGGTTCAAGATAACCGCACAACTTCCCCGCTGGGCACTCTATAGCGTGTCTTCCACTTCTCTCATTTTCTCAACTCTATTGTAGCACCACGCCTCTTCCACGACTTCCGATTTCGCCCCGGCAAGTCTCCGGAACAGTTGGAAATCATCGACTCTTGGCACTTTCAACTCTGCTGTGTCTCGGTTCCTTGATTTCTGTCGTCGAGAGCAAATACCCAAGTTCCATAATCCGCCCCAACGTTAACGCATCCCGCCGGCAACAACATCCTCGGCGACTTTTTTCTATGGCTTCCTCCTCCTTCTGCCCCACCCTGATCCCCACCCTGATCCGCCCCAAGCCCCTTTACTATTTAGTAACCCCCACTGGCACCCGCTTGCTCAACAACGGTAGTTCAACAACCCCCTCGTGCGGTGCTACTTAACTCCTCGATCCTGCCACGTAAGACCTGTTAAAGATACCCCGCTTCCTTGCTGGCTTACGCGAGAGCCGACCCGTAATAGTCGTAGTTTGTCCTCCTTGCACTATAGACGAAGTACAGAGGCAAACCGTAAAGAGTCGTTACCTGTTACCCCCCATCATCTACCCTGGCGACCGGTCGGGCATCCCGGCGCCTATCTGTCGCATCAGCATCAGCCACGTGCCTTGTCGCACGCCGAGCTGTCCAACAAATAAAGGTCTCCCTTTTTTGGCCAATTATTACCCTCATGAAAAAAATTTAAAAATGCTCCAGTTTTCTTCTGAATCCTCGGGGTGCTTCTTCATTTCCTCCCACCACATTCCTCTTCCTCGACGCGACGATTCTATGCGCCAATGCCTGACAGAGAGACGCTCATGCTGCGCCGCCCAGCAGCGCCGTTGACAAGGGTAGAAATGAGGGGAACGACACCCCTGGTTTGCGGGGTGCCAAGGGCGGGGGTAAGGGACGAGCGTAGGGCGTGGCAGGTACAAATTTTACCTGAGGAAGAACAGCCACCGTTGATTGTGAGGCGGTTGACGGGGTGTGGGGCGCTGGTGCATGGCAAGGCAACCCTGGCGACCGGTCGGGCATCCCGGTGCCAATCTGTTGCATCACCATCAGCCATGTGCCTTGTTGCACGCCAAGCCACCAATCGTTAACACACCCCCTCGTGCGAGGCGCACCCAAAACTGAGGGTACACGAGAATGGTGGGAGTGGGACTCGTGCCAGTCCCACTCCCTTCCAATCTGTGGGACTCCAGCCATCAAAGTGGGATTCATGGCTCATTGCTGTGATCGTCTCCAAGGCCGGCGGATGTCAGATCAGGAGAGAGACTTAGCCGGCGTCGTGCAGCGAGCCTCCGCGGCGAGCGGCAGCCCGCGGCAGCGTGGGGTCCCCCTGGTCGGGGTCCGGGGTGGAAAACCCTGGCCGTCGCGGCCGGCACCGCAACCCAATGATCCACGCATGGTACATCAGAAAGATGATGTGCATCAAGTCCCACTCTGATGGGACAAGTCCCACCAAATCGGCTTAACCGCTGTCAAACAGCACTGGGAGTGGGACCGGCGCGAGTCCCACTCCCACCAAACTCGTATATACTCCCCAAAACCAGTCCCCTCCAACGAGTTCCATCCATCCAACATCCGACCGACAACACATAACTGCATGCAAAGTCCGCATGCCCCGCCCTGAGACCTAATCCAGCCTCCGGTGTTCCGTCAGCTCAGCCAGAAATCCCCTCCAGCCAAGTCGTTCACCCCCTGGTCCGACGCACAGCCTATCCCAGCCCAGCGCCCAGCCTAAGGTCTGCCCGCAGCCAGTCCCACACAAGTTGATGCACTGACTATCTGCGTAATTGAGTCCCAAGCCAACATCCAATCGACCTGTATCTATCCAAGGTCAAAGTATTACAAACACCTAACACTGTTGTACAGCCAAAGTAGTTGAGTCAGACTTGCAAGGAACAACTAAAGTGGATTCCTGTCTCAACCCACAAACAAGTAAAGTGAATGAATGGATGAAGTGACAATAAATGCCATACTTGAAGTATCACAAACAGATGAGAAATTGATTTCAGTGAAGATAGACCTTGGTACCAGATTGTAGAGATTTCAATAGTTTTCCAATGGTATATAAATCATCCCAAATGGGTGAGAATTGGCCAAGTTATGAGCCTAACACTATTTTCAATATTTTCAAACTAAAAAAAGGCCAGTTTAAACTTGGGGTTTGAACCGGCCCTAACGTCGGATTTCCGCGGATTTCCACTTGAAAAGACACTCGTGATTTTAAAGTTCAGCGCAAGGCTGAACCTGAACCTGAAGTTCAGTTCGGTGTTCGGCCGGTGTTGGCTTTACCTGAACCGGGTCCGAACGTGTTCGAACGCCGAACGCTGCAGGCGCCGGGCCGGCGTCGCCAATCCAATATCGACCCAATTTGGATGCAGCCGGACGTGATATGACATGATGTCTTGACAGTCGCACGGTCATTGCACTGTCACCGCCCATAATGCCGGTGCCGCGTGTCGCGAGGGCGGATGATGCCTGTGCCAAGACTCCCCGGACCAGGCCGGGGCCTTACTAAGTAGCAGTCGGGGCCGCTGGCAAGCCATTAAGTCCTTGTTTTGCAACGAAAGGGAGGTAGACGGTATGTACCATCCACTGTTACTGCAAAATGATAATGATATATGAAACTTATAGAAATAATCAATTTTTTGGTTGCCCCCAGGTTCAAGGTTCGAACGCGTTCTGAACGCGAACCGAACCGCACTGAACCTGAACGCGAGGTTCAGTTCGGAGTTCAGCCAAAAGCCGAACCTGAACCGAAGTTCAGGTTCAGCGTTCGCCAAAAAATGGGCCGAACCTGAACCGAACCGAACCTTGCCATCTCTAGGACTAACCATTAACAATTAGGCTTAAGTGAAAACTGAACCTACTAGTCAATTTGTGATATCTACAACTTTCATTGTTTAACCATGATGCTCAGCCCACCCTAAAGTGCCTTTCCGCGGAACTCCACCTGGGGTCAGAGCAAACAGCGCTGGGAAAGCTCTTAGCTGAGACGGTGGTGGATTGGCATGACATAAAAAAGTAGAGTAAGTACACTACTAGTAACTTACTTTGCATTTTTATATACATAGGTAAAAATGTTGAAGTTACTGCAGCTGGCTGGGTTGCCGGTGCATTCACTGAAGGCGTGGTAATACTGTGCACATTCAAAAACTCTAAAGCAATTACGCACCCGGGCCACGTTTCAGCCGGTGTCTTACTGATTGATTCATTTTTGAAGTTTAACCTTCACTGCGGCGCAGTCACGCCCACGGCGTCCGCGTCCCAGCCTGGCCGTCCCCGCCTTCTCTAGCACAGTACGCCGTCCTAGCGGCGGGCCTCATCCACCGCCAGCGAAGAATGCCTTCGGCCGGCGGAGCATGTATAGCGGTTCTTGTTGGACGATTTTCGTCAACAAGTAAGCGCGCGGCCCGTCGCTCTTTTTCGTGTGCTGATTTTGCATCCGCAGATTCGCGGGTCGCGCGGGCGGCGGCCCCGGGCCGGCGTCAACGGTGTCTCTAGAGGCGGCCCGGCCCAACTCCCGCGCAGGTTCTCGTGCCAAACAGAGCTTGTCGCTCAAGCTGTTATAATGGTACGGTGACGGCGCCGTATACGGCCGGCCCTACGCCGTTTATTACACGGCCTAAATTTGGGCCCGCATGCCATGATGTGCATGATATTGACACAAAATTTTAAATACCGGGCCCATTGCATTGACCGTGAATTCGTTCTTGAATCGGTCGTCGGTAAGGCTTAAGCAAGCTATATACAACATGAGCGAGAACAATTTCGACTTCTACATACTTCATTTTTCCCCCGTCAATTGGCACTGATAACTGTCGTTTCGCTCTTACTCTTAATCACCGCTCAAAAACGATCCGTCCGGGCCGCCGGCGTCTCCTTGGCAGTACAGGTACCACAAGCACATTGGCATTTGCATTTCCTTCGGCATCCAGGTCCATTTCAGCGACCACATTGCGGGAGATCGGGTGCTGCAGCTGCGGTGCTTGTGTCACAGCTCCACCCGGGCGCCGGGCCGGCGTGCCTTCGGCCTGCTCTCTGTCGATCAACCGCCGCCGAGTTGCCTCCAGCTGACGCTGCATCATGGCCATCTCGCGCTGAATCTCAGCAGCCTGTGTCCGTAACTCACCTGCCTGTGTCCGCGCCACCGTCAAGATCTGTGAAAGCCACTGCGCCACGAGCGGCCGGACGGCGTTGTTTGTATGGTTATCTACCCGCCCAATTCAACTCTTAAGTCAGTAGAGGAAAGGAGAGGACGTACGGGTCTGAAATAACTCGGCTAACTCGGCTAGAGCAGCAGTAGTAGCAGCTTCGCGGTCTACCCGACATGTATTCAGCAGCAGCACACAGGGCATCTGGATATAAATTGACCAACCTGTGACAGAATCACGGAAAACCTCGAGTCGGCCGGCGGCGTCGACAAGTAGCGCGGCGAGGGGGTGCGCCGCTCGTGACGGTGGGGATTCCGCTCTGGCCTCGGCCTGCGGTGCGGTTGCACCGGCATCGCCGGCTTCCACTGACATTGCCGCCTCTTCTGCTTGACGGGGCTGCAGCTGTTCTACCTCACTGGCAGGCTCGCCGCGTTGCGCCGCTGCCGCTTCCCCGCGCGATTGTGCATTGCCAGCCGCCACCTCTCGCTCCTGCCCGAGCCCCTCGATCACCTCCTGTACTCTCTGGCCGAAAGCCTCAAATCGCGCCGCCTGAGCCAGGAGTACATTCGGCATTGACATCCTGGCCGCCACCGCCCGGA